ATATAAATATGGGAAATTCGGACCTGGAAGACGTACATTTCATATTTATTGCACTGCATGTGATTCCTTAGTATTTATCTGTGAAAATACTGAGAAATGCGCAGATAAGCATCTGAATGAATGCATTGCTAAAATAGAGGAAAGGCGTGTTGCATATTATAGATCTGTATTATGGAAACGAAAAAGTAAAAAAGCGCTTAGTGATGATGAGATTGGTGAAATTTATGGTAATATTTATTTTAGATACAGAAAAAGCTCTGAATTTTATTATTCTCGTGCTTCAAAAGAAATTATGAAAAGTGTTGCATATCATTTAATTAATAGTGCAAAATTATCCAACGGGCTCAGAGAACTTTCAAGTTGAGACCTGAAACATGGGCAAAACGAGTTTGGAATATGGTGAGGAATGATGGTACTTCTTATGAGAAGAAGTTTCTATCTCCTCGTGATAAAAGAGATATTTATGATCCATATGTATGGTATATTGATCGAAAAATTCTAGCTAAAGATTTATCTGAATCTTTTCTGAATAATTTATATGATGGTCATATTCCACGTGAGTGGGCAGAAAAGAAGAGTGATCAGTTACATAATCAATTAGGTAATATAGCATATATAGTTGCTTTATAGTATTACATCAGCAAGGCTATAGAATCGTTACATATGGTGATTGGTATTATATGTTAAAGTGGCTATTAAATCCTGAATATTACCGTATTAATGAATATTATAACAATAGCAACGTAAACTTTATTAAAAGTTCAGAATATGCGCGTTATAGATGTAAAATAACAGGCAAACCATATCTATATGATTCGCTAAAAATTGACTATTTTAAATCTGAATATGGTTTTACTATCGAGATAAAGTTTAACATTATAGATTTCTCAGATTTGAATAATAATTGTGAATATGTGTGCCAAGTTTTTCGGGCCATAGATTCTTTATCAAAATAATATAGTATTATATTTATGTATAATTATTAGCCAAAGACATTTTACTTAATAATACAATAAATCATTTTTCTTACTTTCATTCGCTTACTCCACTACAATGTATGGGTGATCGCTAGTGAAATGTATAATTTATGTGAAATAAAAAATTGTGATCCACCTAATCTGGGTTAGACCATCCATGCGAGTACCTTACAGATAATACATGTGGACTGTGCGACAGAAAATAAACGTGTTTCTGATCCTGATGAGTGGATATGATGGTAATAAGTGATACTTTATGCTTGTGTGATGAAATAATTTCACATATAAGCGTAAAGCGTTCCCCAAAAATATTTCGAATTTTTTCCCTAGCAACGTTTAGTGGAATTTGTGAGTTTATTTCTCCAGAGCTACAGGCTATTTCTACTATATGGTGTTTACTAGAAATACATTATATAACGTTGCCAGGTCTTAGTATTAAGCGGTACGGCGAAAAAAAAGTTCGTATATGCATATTCTCCAACGCCTTTGCAATGTTGAGATCTACAATGCACATTCCGCATGTCTTACTCTTAAACATAAAATTTTGGCGTAAAGTACCTTGCATATCTCCTATCTCTCCCCCAACATGAATGTGAATTAGAGAGGATGTGAATGGGAAATGCAAGACATTTAAAAGGGTATAGCGAAAAGGTATTGGAATTTACCATACATTATTTTTTTTTACTTCGACTAGCAAGCTTTTCACTAACAATTATCTTCTTATTTTATCTAAACATGGAAGAGTTCCTTTTAACCAGAGAACCCCTTGATATCGTCAGAATTTCTACGGCATTATTTGTACGAGTAGAGGAAGGTGAATGGACAGGCAATCTCGAAAAGGAGGTGGAGAACTTTGAAAATATTTTGCAAAAAGTTTTAGAACGAGTTCCCTCGGAGGATGTTGAACGAAAAAAAAAGCTTTGAAGTTTTGGTACTGGGAAAAAATTAGCTAAACGGGTAAGATGATAAACTATTTTCATGATGAATATATGGATATGATGACATACTTTTTTTTAGGTTTTCTAGTATGGTATAATTGCAAGGAGGGGGACTCTTTCTGACGATCATTCTACCCAAATTTTTAGCGGAAGGAAAAACGTCTTTTACGAGTTTTTTTATTAATAAAATACAAATAAATAACCTCAAAAATGGAGTCAGCATACAAATTTACAGAATATAGATATAGGTTTCTAAAAGAAACAAAAAATATTTTCAGTGCGAACTCAAGGACCACAGCAAAACTCCCAGAAAGAGTACCAAGAGACGGCGGTCTCAGCAAAACTGAACAAAACTTCCTGGAGTCAATACGGAACGATGCTGTACGCAGAAAAGAAACAATAAAAGATATCATTTTAAAGTGTTCAGCAACGTCTTTCGACGTCTATATAGACGAAATAAAAAGACTCTCATGGGAAAATTCAAAGTTGCGAGAAGAGCTGCGGAGAAAAGATCACATGATGGATAAGAAAGGCAAGATGGAGAAAACACAGGAACGAATAATATCGCAGAAAAATGAACAAATAAGGAAAATTTCGCAAGAAGTAGAGAAAACGAGATCAGAACTAAAAAAGGTTAAAACAGGCGTCAACAAAGAAATCGATCAGCCGAATAAATCTAAAAAAGGCAGATCGTTAACAAACAGGAGAAAACGGGAAGAAATTTTAGAGATACCAGTTTTACCCGAAAATACCAGTAATGATCAGCAGGCCAAGGAGGCACGTGACATATTTTTCTACGATATACCAAAATATTGGAGTGAGGACGATGTTAGAACAAATCTGATGAAAATAGGAACGGTTTATAGACTGCAAATTCGAGGACAATACAAATACAAAACCGTTAAGGCAAAAATATCTTTGAACGAAAATTTTGAAAAAACGTTCTCGGATGGACATTTCGGTATTTGTATTAGCAAAAACTTCATCAGATGGTATGACGCAAAATTAGGTTTGAAAGGACGACAAGAGCGGGATCAATGGCAGACTGTGAAAGACCTAACTAACGAGGAAATGGAATTTATAAAGAAGGACAACATATACGACTTCACGAAACAACTGCAACAAACTTCCAAAACGGCGTTCATTAAAATTATCAAAATCACAAAAAATTGGAAAGTGATTGGGTATTTCAAGAACCTCAAAGAAATGGAAGAAGCAGTGGAGGATTCATGCACACAAGGAGATATCAATAGAGTTTGGCTAGTGAGAAACAAGAAGACNAAATAGTTAGGTTTCAAAAATAGTATAGTTTGCTAGTTTTAGATATTTTATTTTCAGGTAGTATATTTATTTTATTATTTTTCTGTAATGTTTCTTTTTGTTTGGTTCGATTACTCTGTTATAGGGTTGTTACATGTCTGTCTCTTATACACATCTAGATGTGTATAAGAGACAAGAATACTTCAGATCATAACGACACTACAGGGAATAAAGGGGAATCATCTTCCTTAAGGAAAGATAATGTAGCACCAGAAGAAGTGGTTGATATTATCAAAGATCTGTCTCTTATACACATCTAGATGTGTATAAGAGACAGGAATAGGAGAAGACAATACGCAAGATCAAATTGACACCTCAGGGAATAAAGGGGAATCATCTTCCTTAAGGAAAGATAATGTAGCACCAGAAGAAGTGGTTGATATTATCAAAGATTACAGAACGGGAAATAAAATTAAATACGTTCAGTATCAAGAATCAACACACGAGGTTTTGATGGATAAACTGAAGGAAGTGAGGAACATCTTCGATCAAACGTCTAACAAAATGGAATGGGAGAAAATTAACGATGAGGCCATCCACGCGATACGCAGAGAACATGGGATTACAAGTCAGGAGGAAGCGAGGAAATGGGCCATGGACAAAAACAATTTCTTCCTAGTAGGCAACAAAATCATAAGTTTAGCGGAACAAACGAGAATATTCCAGGAATATACGACCCTAAACGATGATTTTAAAAAAAGATTGGAGAATGAAAATCGCTACCAAGACGAAAAGAAGATCGGTGAAAAAAGACCGATGTTAGAATCTCCGAAGAAAGAGGAGGAACCTTCAGATCTTGACCAGTTTGATGAAGAGAACAGTATTCTTGAGGAGTGCTGGACAACAAATTATCAACTTGAGGAAGGACAAAAAATCCAGTTTACGATGTTTGATGAAGAAAAAGAAGAAGAAGCAGAACCTACGGCATCACCATCAAAAAAGAATAGTGGAAAGAAAAAGAAGAAGAAGAAGAACAACAAGAAGTGAAGAGAGAAGGAAGAGACTTACGAGGAAAAATGAATTATTTTTTTTTTTTAATCGAAGTCACGTGATTCACGTAAAAAAGATTCCGATAACAAAATTAGTCTCTTATACACATCT